TGAGGAGGCTGTTTACTTGTGTAAGGCGGGAGTGATTTGTTTTGTCTTTGTTTGCTTTTCCAGGACTTGTACCCAGCTCTGAAAGGTGTAAGCACAGTTTTCCACTGCGCATCACCCCCACCATCCAGTAACAACAAGGAACTCTTTTATAGAGTGAATTACATTGGCACCAGGAACGTCATTGAAACTTGCAAAAAGGCTGGGGTTCAGGTAAGGGGAAGGCTGGAGTGAGTGCTGTCACACATTTCTGTGCATGGGTCTGTCCCTGGCTTTCTCTTCCACTCCGTTGGCCTCTGTGCTCAGGCCACTGTGCTCTGCCTTAATTCAGTGAGTCTAAGGATGAATCTCAGTGTGTGGTAGGACAAGTCACCCCCAACCACGTTCTTCAGAATTTGCTTGGTTAACCTTAGCCCTTTCCTCGTCCATATACTTTTTTTAAAAATGTTTTTAAAATTGATTTTAGAGAGGAAGGGAGAGAGAGAGAAAAACACATTGATGTGAGAGAGAAACTTCCATCAGTTACCTCCCATACATGCCCCAACCGAGGATCAAACCCGCAAACTGGGTATGTGCCCTGACTGGGAAGCAAACCCGGCCCCTTTCAGTATATGGGACGATGCTCCAACCAACTGAGCCACACTGGCCAGGGTTAATCCATATACTTTTTAGGGTCAGCTTGTTGAGTTGATAAAGCCTACTGGAATTGTTATTGTAATTGCATCAAACTTAAAGGTCATTTTGGAAAGAATTGACATGCTTTCAATATTGAGTCTTCCTATCTGTAAATATATGTGATCTCTCTTTATCTCTCCCTTTAATGCCTTTCAGTAGCGTTTTATACTTCATAGTGGTTTTTTACATCTTTTGTCAAATTTATCCCTATGTGACTCATTATGGTTATTGAAATATCTTTTACATCACATTTTCAATTGCTAGTGTATAGGAACACAGTTGATTATTGTGTATTGATTTTGTACTCAGCAACTTTGCTGAACCCTTAACTTTAATATTCTCTATTTATCATGTTTTCTCTGTCTACATTTCCCATATCTGTGAATGGTGATAGTTTTGTTTTTTCTTTTCAAATTATTATACTTTGTTGTTTGTCTTATCCTAGGACTCCAGGACAGTGTTGAATAAAAGTGGTTAAGATATTATTCAAGCCCGGCCAGTGTGGCTCAGTGGTTGAGCATCAACCTATGAACCAGGAGGTCACATTCCATTACCAGTCAGGGCACATGCCTGGGTTGCGGGCTCGATCCTCAATAGGGGGCATGCCGGAGTCAGCAGTTCAATGATTCTCTCTCAAAATTGATATTTCTATCTCTCCCCCTCTCTCTCTCTCTGAAATTAATATAAACACACACACACACACATATATCAAGATACTCTAAAAAAAATAAAGATATGATTCAAGCTAATGATATTCAGTGTTGGATGAGATTCCTTTAACCAGATGGGCTGGGAGCTGGAGATCCTCATAAGAGAGCATCTTCCTTTTGAATAGTATTTCTCAAGTGGGCATGGGTGTGTGCCTGCATGTGCTGACATGCCAAGGTTTGTGTCAGAATCAGCAGGGGTCTTCTTCAGACAGATCTCCCTCAGAGTTTGTGGGCTATCCTTCCGCCAGGAGAATCACTCCCACAGTGAGATACCATGAATAATGGAAGTCTGTTCTATCCCTCAGTTGTGATAGGAGAGAAAAAATGTGAAATCTACTATATTAGAATGTAATGTCATAATGTGCCTGGGATCCTCGTAGCTGCAAAAGATGGTGATCTTTGGATTATTTTAAGAAAGCCTGAAAAGTGAAGGCACTACAGTCAATAATTTGTATAGTGCTTTGCATACAAGGGTCATTCATGAACAGGTACCATTTGATCCTCTTTCATTCATGACCATTGGAGTGTTTAATTAGGGATCATTCCTGACTGTATTTTTTTTTTCATCTTCCTTTCTCCTCTGCCAGAAACTCATTTTAACCAGCAGTGCTAGTGTCATTTTTGAGGGCGTTGACATCAAGAATGGAACTGAGGACTTCCCTTATGCCATGAAACCCATTGACTACTACACGGAGACGAAGATCTTGCAGGAGAGAGTACGTACCTGAGAGCTGGTTGAGTGAGTGATGGGCAAGTGCCAGGAACATCTTAAGGGCTTAGATTCCTAAGAGAAATATCTGTGAACATGTGAAGTTAGTATTCTGAGGCCTAAGTACCTAACTTGGGAAGTAAAATTTGTGGATGAAATTCAGTTTAAAAAATCATAACAAAATAGCTCAAGGTGGCCAGACACTGTTCTGAGTCTTTTACAGGAACTGCCTCATTTCAACGTCACGAAGACGCCCTAAGGTAGGTACTATTATCATCACCAGATTACAGGTGAGGACAGTTGATGCCCAGAGATTCAGAAGGTTCCTGAGGCCATGCAGCTGGTAGGTGGTGGAACCAAGGCAGTTTAGCTCCAGAGCCTGCTCTCCAGCTCACACTATGCAGGGTTGGTTACTCAGTTGCTATAGAAATCAGAAAGTAGGCAATTTATGGCGATCCAAAGTATGCAGGCAGAACTTGGGCTTCACACACAAGGAGTGTGTTTGCATTTGAAACACCTTCCTGGTGGCACTCTTGTTCCCCTCACTTTGTAAAATTAAACAGCAGAAGGATCTTGCTTTATTTTAAGGAAAAGTACTTTTCTACTTGACAGCCTGGTTTCTGTGAGAACCCAGATTTAGCAGAAGTCTGAGTTGAGTAACAGGCACCAAGCCTTCAGACTCCCAAGCTCCGGGGACCCTGACAGCAGCTAGTTCCAGGGTTAATGTCCAGGGTGGGCACTGCCGTGAGGACAGCCCCGGCTGAAGGCCACAAATGCTCATCAGCCACAGACAGCTTGCCTTAGCTGGGGTGCTGGGGGTTTACCTCTCCCAGGAGTTTGTAGCACACCACAGCTACTAAACCAGAGTTTATTGTCCAATTGGCATGAGTGCCCCCGCACTACCCGAGGGCCTGCTGACTGTTTGCTATTACTCCAGCTCAGAAAGTCCCAGGAGAACTCATCCTCAGAGAGACACAAGGTCCTCCCTCTCCAGGGAGTAGAGGCCTAGCCTTTTGCAAGCTGGAGTCCTGTCCCTGCCCCTTAAGCATAGAGAGCCTCAAAGAACTCCCACCTTCTTGGACTTGACCGAGAGAGCACCGAAGCATCCAATGGGCCCTGTGCACTCACCCAAGGTGCCTGGGACTCCCACCCTTTGTGCTCAGGAGCTGCAAGCCGCAGCTATGGCCCAGACCTTTGGTGTGTCACTTGCACTGACTTTCGGTGCTTATTGGGAAAAAGCAAAGCCTGAAAACGCCCAGAAGTAACCCCCTAAAGCAGTGATGGTGAACCTTTTAAGCTCAGCATGTCAGCATTTTGAAAAACCCTAATTTAACCCTGGTACCATGTCACATGTAGAAATTTTTTGATATTTGCAACCATAGTAAAACAAAGACTTATGTTTTTGATATTTATTTTATATATTTAAATGCCGTTTAACAAAAATCAACCAAAAAAATGAGTTCGCGTGTCACCTCTGACACGTATGTCATAGGTTCGCCATCACTGCCCTAAAGCGTCCTGTCAGCCGTTGTTGATGCACAGTAACTCACTGTCGGTGTTCAAACCTCCCAGCATCGAAAATGAATGTGGTGTTGATTTAGGACCCCTTCACCTCTCTTCTTTTTAGTAACAGAGATGAGCCTTGGTAGAGGGCATTGGAAGGCTTATTTAGTCATTTCCCCCATTGCCATGGGGACCAAGGGCCTGGCAGGAAGAGGAGAGACAGCTCTGGGAATCTGATGAGAGGCCAATTCTTCACTGTTGGGCAGCTACAATGGTTCTAAACTCAATAAGTCACTTCAACTCTCTGGCACCCAAATATATACAAAAATTTTGCCACTGCAGAGTAGAGATCCTAGGTGAGGTGATAACGATACTTACCAAGCGTACTTACAGAAACAATTGGCAGGGCATCCCATTTCATTAGCACGCAGCCCTGTCAGGGTAGGCACTGGCACGTTCCCTATTTTTACCAATAACATAACAAATCCTTCAGGAAGTTGTGTAACTTTTGAGGCGAAACCTGTTTCTCTGTACTTATTCCCTTAAGTTCTAGTTTGTCCGTTAAGCCACACAGAATGTAGCTTTCCTCTCCTGCTGACAGTGGATGACAGGAATACTGGCTGTCTCTTCTGGAGTGCTTACTAGGTACTAGGCACTGCTCTGAGGACTTGACCTCTACTGGCTGCCCTGTTTCTCCCATACCCTTCACCTTCTCAGGCCCTTCTTCGTGACCCACGTGGATTCATCAGAGCCCCTTACTGGGAGGTGGTGCTCAGCACTAGCCAGGGCAGCCCAAGACTGGCAGAAACGTGCTGTCAGCACATAGAGCTTAAAGCCAGAGCCCCTTAGGTGGCAGCAGCCTCGTGGGAGGCTCAGGGTTGACTGGCTCACCAGAACCCCCGGATCTTTCCCACAAAAGGCTGCCAAGGCTCATCTTCCCCTGGCTGCATTTGTGCATTTTAGTCTTGAACCCAAACCCAGGCCTTTCTGTTTGATCTCACTGGTTTTGACCCAGCTGTCTCCTACATTTTCCAATTTGGATGGTGGGGGTGGAGCGGTAGAGAAGTAGCCAGAATTATACCATTCATTGATGCAGGTCTTCAGCCCCGGGCAGTGGGCAGTACGCAGTACCCATGTGCCCTGTGGGAGGTGCTGCTTAGCTGGTATGGCACGTCCACTGCTCCTTCTGCTCTTCTTCAGGAAGTCCTGGGTGCCAATGATCCTGAGAGGAATTTCTTAACCACAGCCATCCGGCCCCATGGCATTTTCGGCCCAAGGGACCCCCAGCTGGTCCCCATCCTCATTGAGGCAGCCAGAAAAGGCAAGATGAAGTTCATGATCGGGTAAGTCGGCCAGTGTTGCTTCTCTGCAAGATCCCCTGAACCCATGTAACAAAGATCAGTTACATTCAGCTCTCTTCTTTTTTTTTTTTTTGTTATTCCTCACCCAAGGATATTTTTCCATTGATTTTTAGAGAGAGTGAAAGGGAGAAGGAGAGACACAGAGAGAAACATCGATGTGAGAGAGACACATCAATTGGTTGCCTCCCACACATGCCCAGACCAGGGCCAGGGATTGAGCCTGCAACCGAGGTATGTGCCCTTGACCAGAATCGAACCTGGGACCCTTCAGTCCGTGCGCCTTGGGGGCGGGCGGGGGGCTTACAGCAACAGAAAGGAATCCTCTCCCAGTTCTGGAGACCAGAAGTCTGAAATCCAGCCATGGGCAGGATTGGTTCCTTCAGAAGATTCTGAGGGACAGTCTCATCCAGGCCTCTCTCCCAGCTGGTGGTGGTGGCTGGCAGTCCTTGGAATTTCTTGGCTTAGATAGATGCATAACTGCAGTCTCTGACTCCGTCTTTGCATGATCTTCTTTTTCTGTGTCTTTGTCCAAATTTCCCTTGGTTTGTAAGACCAGCAGCCACGCCCTAACTGGTTTGGCTCAGTGGATAGAGCGTTGGCCTGCAGACTGAAGGGTCCCAGGTTCGATTCCAGTCAAGGGCATGTACCTTGGTTGCAAGCATATCCCCAGTAGGGGTTGTGCAGGAGGCAGCTGATCAATGTTTCTCTCTCATGGATGTTTCTAACTCTCTATCCCTCTCCCTTCCTCTCTGTAAAAGATCAATAAAATATTTTTTTTAAAAAAGAACAGCAGCCATTGGATTTAGAGCCCATTCTACTCCAGTATGACCTCACCTAATCTTGATTACATCTGCAAAAACCCTATTTCCAAATAAGGACACATCCACAAGTTCCAAGTGGACATGAATTTGGGGAGGACACTATTCAACCTGGTGCACTCTCTCTGACAGGCTGGGAAAATATTGGTGTCCCTGTTTGGAAATTGAGGGAACAGGCTCAGAGGGGAAAGCCTGACCCACAGTCAGGGGCCAGGCCCTCAGCTCTTGTTGCATCCATGAAGATAGGAGGAGGCTTTAACATTCCTTTCTGAGCAAGGTGCCGGTGGCAGGGCCTAGCAGGTGGTGGCAGTGTGGCTGGCTGCCTTCCCCAATACATTTACTTTTCCTTCCTTCTTTCCTTCCTTTTTCCCCTTTTCTTCCTGTCATTTTCTTGCTACCTTGCCTCCCTGCCTTTCACTTGGCTGCCCTGTCCTATTGCTTTGAGGGATTACACAGAGATGGTAGAAACACATGAGGCCAGAGCAAGGCATTAACCCAGAGTGTCCCAGAAGGAGTGAAGGGCTGCTGCCCAAAGTGGAGCTGAGAGCAGACAACACCAATGTTGGCCATGCTGGGATGGGGCAGGCAGGGCACCAGGCTTTCTGATACATTAGTTGGCCCTTAAGTATCCCTGAGGGCCCCAGGAACCCTGGCCCCTTGTACATCTTTAACTGTTACAGATGTCAAGGTGTCAGGGGCTGGCATTGCCAAGGCAGGTAGCAGTCTTTTAAAATTGAAGAAAGAATTCAGCCCTAGCCGGTTCGGCTCAGTGAATAGAGCATCTGCCCACGGATTGAAGGGCCACTGGTTTGATTCTAGTCAAGGGCATGTACCTTGATTGCAGGCTCGATCCCCGGCCCTGATCAGGAGGTAACCAATCGATGTGTCTCTCATACATCCATGTTTCTCTCTCTGTGTCTCTCCCCTCCCTTCCACTCTTTAAAAATCAATGGGAAAATATCCTGGGGTGAGGATTAATTAAAATAAAATAAAGTGCTGGGACTTGGAAGCAACCCCAGCTCCCTGTGCAGTGTCTCAGCATGCAGCTGAGTGCTCCCAGCCCAGTGTAACCACATCTGTATGCCCACAGAAACGGGGAGAACTTGGTGGACTTCACCTTCGTGGAGAATGTGGTTCACGGACACATTCTGGCTGCAGAGCACCTCTCCCAAGACACGGCCTTGGGTGGGAAGGTAAGGCACCTGCTTCTCTCAACTCGGCAATGGCTGGCCCACCACATGCTCCGCCTGCACTTTTTCCCATCTTCAGATTTCTTCTCTGTGTGATTGGATGCACTGGCACGTTCCCTCCGTGATTCTGTATCCTGGTAGACCTGCTTTAGGATCCCGTGATCTTGAGATTAAGCCCCTATGGTCAGGAGTATGGCATCATGGCAGTACCATATCGCACAGGGCAGCCCAAGTCCAGAGGTGTGGGCTGTGGTTAAGAGATTCAGGACCTGGTTCTGATTTTAGGGCCTGGTTCTCCATGAACGTAACCTGACTACCTCCCATGGACATGGCTACTCCAGGCAGGGTCCCGTGAACATTGGCCAGAGTGTGTGCTATTCACCCTTCCTTCCACTCATTCCAAGTGTCTCCATTTTCCTCTCATCGTCCAGCCATACTCATGCCTCTCACCCCACCTGAGGTGCAGATGTATCTGAATCTCCTGGTGTCTGGCATCCAGTGGGCAGGCTGGGCATGTGGGGGAGGTGAACTCATCCAGAGATGGGAGAGCACATTTGGCCCCTCATCATTTCCTCTCATTCCTGCCTTGGATTCCCTCCTATTTGGGCCTCATTTGTTTCTCCTGGACTTGTTCCATTTTCCCACTCATATAACTCTTAGGGTGGCTTTTGGTTTAGAACAAGCAAGTCAAACTCAAAAGCTAACATGGGCCAAATAAACAAGGTTTAAGTTTATGTGGGCCGCAAAAAAACAAAAGCTTTAATTTTCATAGAAACGTTGGTTTATTTCTGTAGAGACATGCTGAATACAAAGGGCTAAAATAAATGAGCAATCATTCACATAAAATAATAGAATACTTTAATAAAAAGTAATATTTTTCTTGAACATTAACTTACCAGACACTGAATAGCTGCACACGTTAATAAGCATAACACAAATAAACCTATTTTTCTTGTTCTCCGAAAGCGAAATACTTCCTGTTGCGCACACCAAACAAGTCAGTACAAGACTAACTTGGCAACCTGTTGCTAAAATATTCACTCCTAGTATTAGTGGAGAGAAATGGTGCACCTGCGTGTAAGGCACCTAAGGGAAATGAATGCAACATGATTATAGTACTCAGTCATTAGTGAACGTTGTAGTTCGTTATTAATAATTATGTATAAAGGATATTGTAAAAATTAAGATGAAATTTTTATTAAAACGTTTCTTACATACCATTAAATTGGCTAGGCTGCAAAAATATTCATTGTGGGCCGCATGTGGCCCGCGGGCCATGAGTTTAGCATGCTTGGTTTAGACCAAACAGCACATCTGAGAAACTTAATATGACCCATTCGTTGTGCCTGAAGATAAGAAGATGAGTGTCACCATGCTTAACACAGTTACCAAATGAAATTAACAAACGTGCCTTCCCGAATGCAATCTAAACTTCACTGAAAAACCTGACTTACAGAGGAAATTTTCACTGCCTTCCCTCTGCTCCTAAAGGGGCCCATAGCTGCGAATCCAAAGGTTGTCTGCAAGCGGCTGACACTTGTGGATTAGAGGACCAGGGAAATGCTGCAATCTGCATGCACTTAATATCCACCTCACTTTTGAGCTGCCCTGCAAAGGAGCTGGGGTGAGCAGGCGGGCAAGGAGTGGCCACTGGTCCTAGGCTGAGCCAACAGCTATGGCTGAGCTCTGGGCATGGCCCGCTCACCCCTCCAGCTGTGGAGCAGTCTGTAACTTCTTGTTCTGTCTTCAGGCATTCCACATCACCAATGACGAACCCATCCCCTTCTGGACATTCCTGTCCCGCATCCTGATAGGCCTCAATTACGAAGCCCCCAAGTACCACATTCCCTACTGGGTGGCCTACTACCTGGCCCTCCTGCTATCCCTCCTGGTGATGGTGATCAGTCCTGTCATCCAGCTCCAGCCCACATTCACTCCGATGCGGGTCGCGCTGGCTGGCACATTCCACTACTACAGCTGTGAGAGAGCCAAAAAGGCCTTGGGCTACCAGCCACTGGTCACCATGGATGACGCTGTGGAAAGAACTGTGCAGAGCTTCCACCACCTGCGGAGGGTCAAGTGAGGCCCCGAGACTGGGCCCTCTCGCCACATTCCGCCTCCAACACCTCTCCTCGTGGATCAAGAAACTAACCTCCTTCAAGTGACTTTCTTCTGAGCTCAGGTACCTCCTGCCAGTTAGATAGGAGCACACCCGGCCTTTCCATGACCACAAGTGAAGCCTGAGTGGGAGCACAGGATCAGATTTGGACTTTTAGCGGGCAGCTTTGTATTCTTCTGTTTTGTGTTCTCTCTCCCATCCCCCCTCTATCCTGGGGTCCTTACCATCCCACTGTCCTTGTACATAATCAAGGAAGCTGTAGCAAAGAACCGACCCCTTTGCTAATTGAGGATGGAAAACTAGATTCATTTCCATACAAACCAATACAAGAGTAGAAGCCACAGACTGTTCAAGGAGCCACATATTACAAACATCCTAGAGGAGAAACAGAAACACATGGTGAGACTGCAAGTGTACATTTTAAATAGAGTTTAGAGCAAGCAAACACTTCCAAAAAGCTTAAGCAACTGTAACCCTCCCCCTCCATCCCTCATGGTTTCCCTCCTTACATGCTTCCAAGCTCTCCAAGGCCCAGCTGCAGTGCCTGTCTGCGTTGTTTTGTTCTTTTCTTCATAAAACATTCTGTCATGGTCACATTTCACTTTATCAACAGATTCCTCTTGTCCTTAGTGACACAGCAGTGGCCTGACCCGTGGCATGCTCTTTCAGCTGTTTAGCGAATCTCCTGACATCAGACTGCTTGATAGTGTGATATGGGAAAGGTCAGACAGAAAAGAGTCTCCTTTATCTGCTTGGAGTTTGGGCAGAAAGGGCACTTCACTCATAGAACCCCTCACGCAGAACCCTTCCGGCCAATTTCCAGAAGGCCTAGCACACATAATGACTCAGCGTTCTCTCTTTCCTGGTGATGTTCTGCTTACAGAACCTGGTTTCTTCTAAGACTAATTGACATGTAATCTTCAAG